CAGGGACAGATGGGATATTGGGAAGGAATTCTTCCCTGTGAAGGTGGTGAGACACTGGCACAGGGTGCCCAGGGAGGCTGTGTCTGCCCCAACCCTGGCAGTGTTCAAGCCAGGTTGGATAAAGCCTTGAGCAACCTGCTCTGGTGGGAGGTGTCTCAGCCCAGGGAATAGATGATTTCTAAGGTCCATTCCAACCCCTTAACATGCTGTGATACTATCACACTGTGACTTGCGGGAGTTTTTGTCTGTTGTCATAATTCACCATAATAATGTTTGTTTGCATGTTTTCAGATTTCTTTACTCAGACGAAGTTCAGATTGGACCAGAGACTGTTATGACAACACTTTACACAGCTAAAAAATATGCAGTTCCAGCCCTTGAAGCTCATTGTGTGGAGTTTCTTAAAAAAAACCTCCGAGCAGACAATGCATTCATGCTGTTAACACAGGTGAGTCTGTGATAGTTTGCCTGGAGCAGGGTCCAGCACAGTAGGAAACCAGAAGTTTTCTGAGTGTTTTGGAGTGGATCATCCAAAGTGGAGCAGTTCTGGGTCATTTTGAATTCCTCCTTACAGGACTCCAGCACTGATGAACAGGTTCTTACAGAGAACAATGAAATATGGCAAATGTTGCTGCTGCTTCCGATTTTTCTGTTTTGCTGTGGCAGGGGATTCTTTCCAGAGCGTGAGCTGGGGAAGAAGTGAAGAGTGAGAAGATTTCATCTGCCAAGAAGAAAAGTGGAATGAGTGACAGATTAAGGACTGGTGTGCTGAGCTCTCTCTGCAGACTGTGCTGTGTCTGGCTGCTCAGCCGGTCCTTGAAGGACTTTTGGACAATACTTTCCCTGAAACGGGAGTGAAAGAAAATGCAACTTTTTCATGAGTGCTTTGGTTTATTTTCCTCAGCCTGTTCCAGCCCACCCTCTCACACTGAAGGCACACAGCTGGAGTGTCAAAGCAACTGTTCCTTGGCTCTTTGTGAGGCTGGTGGTGCATCCTCATGCCCCTCTGATCTGATCTGTGAGGGTTGGGCCCCTTCATCTTCCATGTGACTCTTGAAGCAGTCAAGTAGAAGACTTTGCTTATTTTGGAGACCAGACTTTGCATTCAGGTTGATTACATGAACATCACTGTCCTTCTCATTTCCCAGCCCCATCTGTTCTCTCTGGTCCGTGCTACCCTCTCTGCTGACACATCAGTAACATACACAGTGCTGTCACCTCTGTGATAGTGTCTGTGGCATTGCCAGGGGCTCCCTTGTTCTGGGTGGTGTAGGAATAAGCAACAGGCATTGTGTGTTTCTTTCCCTTAGGGAATGGGCAAACTTTGGACTAGCTCTGGAGGAGTATTCCTGATCCACCAGCTCAGGAAAGCTGCCAGGGTGTCTGATGTGAAACCAGCCTTGCAGAGGAGGTTTTTTTTCAGCTGCCCTGGTCTGGGAACCATTGCACTAAGGTGGTCTGGCTCTGAGGGGTTGGCCTGGTGTGCCCAGCATTCCTGTCTGCTGTATTTTCTCTCCCTGTCAGGAGTACAGGTGTCTCTCAGGCCCTGACTGTAGGTACTGCCTTAGTGGCAGTGGCTATAGCAGCAGTTTGTGCAGATATTGCAGCAGTGTTGGCCTGAAGCAGTCACCGCTGAACTATTTGCTTCGTTGGGATTAGGTTGGGATTTTGTGTTTAAATATTTGGATCAAGTTCTCAAAGCAATTCTACATCACATTGCTGTTGTGGTCACTCTTTGCTGCTTGGATTCAGCTGCTGCTGCAACACACCATGTCCCTCTTTACACATCCTCTTTAACCTGGCCCTTTTCCGTGTGCCATAAACAGGTGTGGCAGCCTCCAAGACATGAGGGGATCCACTCTGCTCTTCTCTAGGGAAGATTCAGGACTTGAGGACTCTTGTCTGGGTGATGGCAGCCAAATCTGCACTCCCATCTAATGTGTGGTAGGACAATTGTAAGTCCTTGGCTGCAGCTCTCCCGTTCCTTGGACTCAGCACCTGCAGTCTGAAAGATCAGGAGCTGTTAGCCAAGAGCTGGGAAAAGGTCTTTCCCATTGGCTGCAGTTTTAAGGAGGCATCTTACACTAGCCATTGCCTCATGAGGGTTAGTGGTGTTGGCTTTTGGTGGTGTTCCTTATGCAGGGATTTTTGTGGCTTGTTATGTCTCTGCACCTGACTTTGCAGCAAGGTGACATTTAGGTTTATGGTGACTTCCTTACAGGTCACAAAGGTCCTTCTTTGCAAAAGAGGAAGGTGTCCTTGTTTTTCAGGTTCCAAAAGCGAGATGCTGCCTGGCACTCTGTCATGGCAGATGGGGAAAGGCTTTCCTGGTTCCTTTGTTTGTGACTTATCCATTATGATTAATTAGCAGTGGTGATTCCTATGCAGTATGTCCCCTGATGCCCTTTATCAAGTCTCTGAGATGTTTGAGGCTGGTGTGCTTTGAGAAACATGCCTGTATCTCAGTGCCTGGTGCATGAGGCACCTCCTGAATGGATCTGCTCCCACAATGCCCTTGTTCTTGGTCCTTTGGTGTGAAAATTTGTCTGTTTTCTGCTTTTACTGCATCAAATCAACAACTTGGTCAGTAAATTACAGATCCGAGATACATCTTTTACAAAGCATTGCCCAACAGGCTTAGAGCCATGGACATGAGATTGTAGAGCTCCAAACCTCCTTCGTGTGTATCGCTGCCCAATCTGCTGGTCCAGCAACTGTGTCATCAACAGTGTCTCAAGCAACTGCTGATCTCTGGCAGAAATATCAGTGGCAAATAGCTTTCTTAATTGATTGTGCCTCGTAGTGAACCGTGATCCTCTTTCATGCCAGATGTGCATCCAAATGTCACTTTGATCAACAAGGAAGTAAAGCCTTGCCTGGAGCTGCTGTGGGGGAGAGCTCTGCAATGCAATGTAAGTCCTCATGTGTCAAAAGAGCCACTACAGTAGTAAAGTCTGAGTCAGTCACAGCTCTTGATGCCAAGAGTGTAAGGCACTGGCAGTCCTCCAGCCCCAGGAGCAGGTGATGACTACTGAGGCTTCCCTGGGCCCTGAGAAAATAGAATTGTTTCAGCTCTCTGCACTTGAGGTCTCAGCATCAAAGGTTTGCCTTGCTGAGCTCTGCAGCCCACGAGCAAAGGTGAAGCAGGAAATGCTCTTGAATTCCCGAGTGATGGAATTCCCATCCCAAAACATGAGTTTTAAACCTTACCTGTGGCAGCAATTTCAAGTCCCAGTGTACTCATTAGGCATGATGTCAAGGCAGTTCCTTCCTAAACAGCGAAATCCAAGCACTGGAGATAAGAGGCCATTTAGTGATTTTTGTGTGTTCCACCTCCTTTCTGCTTGTGCTGAGCATAGGGTTGCTAACACATTGTGGCAGTCCAGGGCGGTCCGAGGTGGCAGTGGAATTGCTACAAGAGGGCACTTAAGTTGGGCAGAGAAATTCTGAGCAGTAACTCTCTAAGCGTTGCTTGAAAGAGTAACGTATTTTGTGGAGAATTTTTGAAGGCAACTGGATTAGAGTAGCTGTTCCTGTGCAAAACATGGCACTGCACTAAGCAGGCTGTGCTCCCTGCAGGGCTGCAGGTCTCCCCGGGCCACAGGCACGGTGCTGCTGAGGCTTTTTGGCTAATACCAGATCAGAGTGGCTGTTCCTACCAGATAAGCTGTCTCTGCATGTTCCTAGAGCGAGCAGGCCTGGAGTCCTCAGGCCAAGCTTCCTTCTCAATGTAAAAGTGATGTAGAAATGGCTCAGCTGACATGGTCAGTATGGTGCTGGAAAGCAGCATTGGTGCCTGCCCCGATGTGATGTTAGAACAAAGACGTGCCTGAAGACATGCACAGCTGAACCAGAGCTGCTGCCAAATGCAGAATTTTCTAGTGTCTGCCTTGTCATGCTTAACTGCTTGTGAAAGGCTGCTGCAGCCCAGTGGATTCCTGGTGCAGCCAGGCATGGTGTGGCCAGTGAAGATGGGCTCGGGGAGGGGAAGGGAGTTGTCAGTGTAAACTTTAAAATGCCTTCTCTGTTAATGACTGTTCCTGCCCAGGCCCGACTGTTTGATGAGCCTCAGCTGGCCAGCCTGTGCCTGGAGAACATAGACAAGAACACCTCAGATGCCATCAACGCTGAGGGCTTTACAGACATTGATCTGGGTAAGCTCATTTCCTGCCCCCTGCTTTCATAACCAGCTTCTTTCCAAAGTTGTTACAGGTTAATTCTTGGTACTTTGTGGCATTGCTGCTCTGGAGCAATCTGTTGCCCAGTCTCTGGCACCAAGTGGCTGGAGACAGGGCATGTGCCAAAGACCTTGCTGGTTTGCTGGCAGAAATACTCTGGAATCTGCTTACTTTGGTGCAGCTGGAGTTTTCTGGGCATGACACGAATCCTGCTTCCCGTGTTGGTGTTGGCAGGTTTTGGGTGGGTGTAACTTGTCGTTTTTTGTGGAGTTGACAGGTTGTGCAGTTAAAAACGTGTTGTGTTTTTGGAAGCAAGAACTGGCTATGTAATTATTGTGTGCACTTTCCGAACTTGCTGGGCACAGTTAATGAACATTAAAATTCAGGCTTTAACCTTCTTCTGGTGAGATGAGGTAAGGCACAGGTCACCTTCTGGCTTTCATGCTGCTCGTTTCATCCAAATTTGACATCAAGTAAGTTGCAGCTCATCCTGCTGCACTTGCATTAACATGCCAATTAAGTGGGCTCTTTTTGCTGCTCCAGTGAGTTCCTTGCTGATGGCATATGCGGATAAATCTTCCTCAGAGGCTGCAGCAGCACTTTTGGGAGATGCTGTTTATTCAGTTGCTTCTCTCTTACCTTGGCTGTGCACAGGGTGCTCCTGGTGAGGTAACGGGGTGATGTGGGTTGGTGCCTGAAGCTGTGGCTGTCTGTCCTGCCCTGCAGACACGCTGGTGGCAGTGCTGGAGAGGGACACGCTGGGGATCCGGGAGGTTCGCCTGTTCAACGCCGTGGTGCGCTGGTCGGAGGCCGAGTGTCAGCGCCAGCAGCTTCAGGTGATTCCAGAGAACAAGCGGAAAGTTCTGGGCAAAGCTCTCTCCCTTATCCGCTTCCCACTGATGACTATTGAGGAGTTTGCAGCAGGTAACTGAACAAAGGTGTTTCTGGCAATGCTGGTCTTTGCTTTTGCTCAGCTACAGAGAGTCAAGTTACGTGAAAGTGGATTTTCTCTCTGTATCCTGCAGTGATTTAAGTATGACATTGTCTCCCGTTCCTCCCATTCTCCCCCCATCAACCTCCCCACAGGGGGCTTAGAGGCTGGAGTGGGATTTTGGACAAGGAGTGACAGGACAAGGGAGAATGGTCTTAAGCTGAAGGAAGGGAGATCTAAATTAGATATATGGAAGAAATTCCTCCCTGTGAGGATGCTGAGGCACCGGCACAGGTTGCCCAGAGCAGCTGTGGCTGCTCCATCCCTGGGAGTGTTCTAGGCCAGGCTGGATGGGGCTTGGAGCAACCTGGGCTGGTGAAGGTGCCCCTGACCATGGCAGAGGGTGGAACTGGGTGAACTTTAAGGTCCCTTCCAACACCAAATCATTCTGTGATTCACTACCCCGATTTACAAAATCTACTGTGTAAATGCTGTTTTCATCCATGACCATTCACTCATTTCACAGCTGATGGTGCTCCATCAGGTGGATCAGAGCTGCCTGTTTGCTCTCCCAGCCTGGTTAGGTGGTTACTGTCCCATGCAGCTGAGAGTAAAGATCCAGACTGGGATTCACTTGCTTACCTTTCTAACCATTCCAAGCATTTAAACTACACAAACCTAATGGAATTGCAAGTAACTGGTGTTGGTTGTAGCCTGCTCCCAAAGAGAAATGGGGTTGTTTCTCCCCATCCTCTGCCTGTAATCCAGTGGTGATATTGGTCCTCTCTTGCCAATGCCATTCAGAGCAGAACCCTGTATCAGAGAGACTCTGAAAATGTTCTCTGAGCTGAAGGCTTGATGTTGTTTAGTCTATGTCTCAAAGCATTTTTCAAGTTTACATTAAGATCTTGATTCACAAAGATGTCTAAATCATTTAACAGTTTGAACTAAAGATTGCTTTGTTTTGTTTTTGTTGCCTGTTGTCTTTGACTTCAGCCTCTGATGATTCTCCTGGGACTGGAAGCTGGCAATCAGCTTAAATAGTTTTGATGCTAAAAGACACTGTGGAGCCATTTTCCAAACTGCAGCGGGTTCTGGGCTGCAGTGATGTGTACACAGCAGCAAACAGGGTCCCTGACCCCTTCTCTTGCAGGGCACTGCTCAGGGCACTGATGGCGTCAGCTGGTCAGTCGTTGCTCGACGTGTTCCCAGATGGGGAGGGATGTTAGGAAGAAGTAAATCTGTGCTTAAAACTTGGTTCCCACTTCCTATTTGGCCCGTCAGGCCTGTGATGTGGCCTTAGGGACATGGATCTCTTCAGAAGGAGCTTGGTCAGGAAGGCAGAGATCTTTGCATTTTCCTGCAGATTCCATTTCTTTCAACCCTTCCATCCAATCTTGTATCATTCTCTCACCAGGAGAAACGTGTTAGTTTTGGCGTATTGGCGTTGAAGCCTTTGTGCTGGGAATGCCAATGCCCCTCCCCATGCTGCCTGTCACACACTGCCTGTTCCACTTGGATCTTTGTCTTGGAGAGAAGCTCTTTAAGGTTTCTCCATCTGCTTTAACCTCCAAGATGAAGAAAACCTCCAAACCTGACAGGCTGTGATTAGCTGTTCCTTAAATAAGGAACTGCTTTGGAATTCCTTCAGCTTTGGCCTTTTCTGAGTGACTGATTTCTGTGGTGATCACAGCAGAGGCATGAGAGGGAAACCTCTCCCTTCCACACCCCTCTCTCCCAAAAGCCAAAAAAAAAGGAATTTTTCCGGCAGTGGTTTCACCAGTTTGTTACATAATCTGGTATCAAATGGGAGCTTTGCATGGAGGTGTTTTAACTGACAAATGTGTCCCTCCCTTCCCTGAGAGCAGGTAATTTGAAACACTGCAGAAATGAGCTGCAGCAACATGGGATGAGTTCAGACATGATCAGTGTGCTGATTTTTGTTCAGCAAAGTATCCAAAAGCTCATTTACCTGTGAGCAGTCAACTTCCTTAAATTCTTTCATCCCTACCTATTGCAGCCTTGGATCAGATTATGTCTGGGGAACATCATGCTGGATTTAACCAGCTACAGGTAATTTTGGACCAGCAAATAGCTTGGCATTTGCTCCCCACATTAAACAGCACTTAATGCTGTTGTTGCTCCAGCACAGCAGTCTTCTTTCTGTTCAAAGCCTTGTGCTAATAGAGGTGCAGAGACACTTTTGAGTCTTGGGCTAAAAGACTAATTTTTAACTGGTTTCATTTTTGAAAGTATTTAAAGTAGTTTGCAAACCTTGAACTTGGCATCGAGTTGGTTGACCAGAGCAGCTGTGGCTGCTCCATCCCTAGAAGTGTTCCAGGCCTGGTTGGACAGGGCTGGGAGCAACCTGGGCTAGTGGGAGGTGTCCCTGCCCATGGCAGGAGGTGGGACTGGGTGGGCTTTAAGGTCCCTTCCAACCCAAACCATTCCATCAGTCTGTTATCACTTCGGAAAAAAACATCTTGTTACTGAAGAGAAGATGTGAATGTGTTTCAAGTCTTGCTAAAATCACTAACCCTTTTCCCCTAGGTTCTACAAAAAAGCTATGAAAAAAACCCCAATGCCTGGGGGAGGGGGGATTTCAAAGCAGGGCATGAGCTGAACCCCTTTGTCTTGACTGAAAATACTTTTACATTTTCTAAGTTGGTGGTACCCCAGTGACATTCCCATAGGCTCCCATCATGTCCTAACAGCACTGGTGTGCATGGATGGCAATCCCTGACTCTTACTGGTGTTGTCATCTCCAGAGGGAGTAGGGCAAGGATTAGCTGCATGCTTTAGGTTTTCAAACCATCCTGTTAGCCAAATGCATTTGGGCTCCACAGAGCAGGTGCTCAGTTGCCGTTCCGTGTCCATGCTCCGCGTGGAGGCTCTGTGGGTAAAGGGCAGTTTGTCTGGGGTTTAATATCCTGGTGCCCCAGCGAGATCCTGTCTGTGATGGGGATTTGGCCTGCTCCTGGCTGCAGGTCAGGCTTGTTTCCCTGTGTGAATCCCAGAGGGGTGCCTCTGGTTATGCAGTCTGGGCACAACAGTATCAGGAGGATCTAAAGCTGTTGGAGAGCATCCGAAGGAAAGACATGAGCTGGGGAAGGGGCTGAGGAGAGGCTGAGGACACTTGGCCAGTTTTCCTGTCTGTGATGGGGATTTGGCCTGCTCCTGGCTGCAGGTCAGGCTTGTTTCCCTGTGTGAATCCCAGAGGGGTGCCTCTGGTTATGCAGTCTGGGCACAACAGTATCAGGAGGATCTAAAGCTGTTGGAGAGCATCCGAAGGAAAGACATGAGCTGGGGAAGGGGCTGAGGAGAGGCTGAGGACACTTGGCCAGTTTAGCTGGAGCAGAGGAGACTGAGGGAGACTCCTCAGGGTCTGCAGCTCCTCCCGAGGCAGAGGGGAGGGGCAGCTCCGAGCTCTGCTCTCTGGGACCCGGGACAGACCCG